CCTACTTGGCAAAACATTGTTCTTCAGTTCCAAAATCATGTTTGTCTAATTTAAATTGCCATATAAGGTAGGTTTGCAAATAAACATTATTCCACAAAACAAAGCTTAGATGAGAGCTTTTTAGATGGAGTACAGGAGAATCCTTGTTAGTTACTGCCAGGCAGCAACACTGAATGATCTGGACTACCAAAGAACAACACAGTATTCGGAGCAATGCCGAAACAAATATTKAATTCTCTTCTGCAAGACACTTGTGTAATGGCTTTTTTCATTTCCAGCTACTGCCCCCTTTTCTAGATAACAGGGTGGAGGCTTTCTGTTAAAAACTAAATTGGAACTAAAAAGATTTATTCACCTTTTTCATATTAACAATGTAAAGAAAAACAATATTTTGATATAATGCTATCTATTTTCACAGAAAACAGAAGATTGTAAGATACTTCATTTTCCCAATAAGATATTTGCAGAGTAAGTCGTGTTAAGAAATGTGATAATTCATCTGTAGCAGCTACTGTCAGAGGAAYTACACATTTTCAGGAGAAGGCAGTCTACTTCCATGTAAGATATATAGCATATAARAGTTATGTATACAGGAAGCATGTAACAGTACCCTATAAGCCTCKATTTTCATTGCACTTGATTTACTTATTTGAAAACAAAAGAAATTCATTGTTACTTCTGTGCCCATAACCTGCTCATCCTCAGCACACTGCTGTACTAACAACCAACACATGCACACAAACGCTGCTACTACTGCAGCTCTATTTAGGTTGCTGAACACTGAAAATTCTCCTCCAAGAGGCAAAGAACAACTTCCATTTTTCAGCTTCAATTTTCTGAAGAGCGCTGTTTTGGTAGAGAATTAGGACCTGGTCTAAAACCAAGTAAAACCAAAAGACAGTATTCCTCAGAAGTTATTTCTAAAACATACTTCTTGCACTTTTTTTTCATTTAAAGAAGTGATTTTCATGCTAGCTTAGCACAACATTTAAGCTAGCCTTAAAATAGTTCTTAAAATACAAGTAATGAAAACATTGCATGAAACCTTCCACGAATTAGGATATATTTTT